GGACAGGAAGGGCACAGCTGGGACATAAATTGGCACTGATATGGGGCCCTAGTGTTTGTGAGGTGAGGATTTAGTTTTTGAGTCGTTGAACTGAGCCCAAAATCTTAGTATTTCTAATTTTGCAAGTGGCATCAATTTTCCTACAAATGTTTAGAAGAAGTCTTTTACTATGCTCCCACAGTCAATTACATTGGAAGAGATATGAAAATAGAGCAAGTTACTTACTATCCTATAAGACAAAGTATGAGTGTGTTGACCATTAATTTGCTTCACATTCTTTTTTCTTCATCATCTTCCACTGTCTCCAATAGGATACTTTGTGGGCCACATTCTGGTAACTCCGCACCCAAACTTTCTCTATGCTGACATATCCCATGCAGAAAGCTATAACAACATTTCTTACAATTCAAACCAGATCATTTTATTGTTTTGGCTAAATAAATAGAAACCAAGAGTTAAAGGGGTACGTAGAAAGAAGAGAGAAAGCAACAAGAGAGAAACAGAGTGGACAGGATACTACACTCTTGTAGTACTGGAGAAATTGCATCCACTTGAGTTTTAAAGATCTTGAACTAATTTCTCTGGCTCTTTTGGAAGAAAATCATCTTCAAATAAATGAATCTCTTTTTAAAAAGTATTTGTATTTGAAAGGCACTTTTAGAAAGAGAAAGAGAGACAGAGAGAAATATCTTTTATCTGCTGGTTTACTCCCCAAATGGCCGCAATGGCTAGAGCTGAGCCAATACAATGTCAGACGCCAAGAACTTCTTCTGGGTCTCCCATATGGGCGCATGATCCCAAGACTTTGGACAATCTTTGGCTACTTTCCTAGGCCTTAAGGAGGGAGTTAGTTTAGAAGTGGGGCAATTGGGAAACAAACGCATCCATATGGGATCCTAACACTTGTAAGGTGGAGGATTAGCCAACCTAGACTTTGTATCCCAAATATATAAATCTTTAAGATAAGTTATTCCTTTACCCATTTTGTTAATTTCTTCAGCTTCCTGCAGATACAGAAAAAATGGTAGGGTAATAATTTATCTGCTAAATGTATACAAGGAAACACTTAATATTCTCAATATTAAGTTTTGTTTGTATGTTGTATGTATGCTATTATGATACTAGCAAACATTGGTTAAGTATGAGCTCTCAGGAATCCCACCTGCCATAAATGTGCTGAAGATATTCTAGAATGGCATTCTGGAATCAAAGTTATGTGCGATGTTATAGACATATATATTTTGGTCAGGATTTCTCTGACCTGGAACAATTAAAACTTTGGCTTAGATAATTCTTTATTATAGGAAGCTGTCCAGTGTATTTCAAAGTAGTTAAATATAGTCCATGATTCTATCCATCTGAAGACAATACCACTTTCCAATTTCCTCTTTCTGAATTGTGAAAAACCAAAATTCTTCAGATTGTCAATGTCACTTGTCATCGAGTTGAGAGGCACAAACTACCCTGACTTGGGAAACAGTGGCTTAGAGTGATAGATTTGTACTTCAATACTAATGGATATTATTTCAGGGTTGAGCGAATGTAAAAAGACATAATCCTCCCTTTCTTTTGCTTATATAGCTTTAATTTGTATGTATTGACATGTATTTCTTTAATATATTCGAGAAAAAATGGTCAGACGACCCAAAATTCCAATAGCACTTACTAAAAGCTTTGAAAAGCAGACCTTCACAGTGCAGTTGTACTCTGTCCTGTGGGGAGGTTTGTAATGTACAGTTACTTCACATACACTTACTTTTGTAAGGCCTCTGGATCAGGCCTCTGGATTCAGAGATTGAAACCCAGCCTACTGGTTTGTACTTGGATGATTTTCTACACGTCCATTTCTCTTCCAACAATTTCCTGACTTTGTCTTTGCCTGACAGTCTGATCGAGTGTCCAAAACCCAGCCCAAACATCGCCCCCTCTCTGAAGGTGACTCTCTCATCTCTTCAAATTCCTCTCTTCACGTAACATATTATTCTTAATTTGCTTTAATTGGTGTTATTCCCTCTACACTTAATAAACTTTTGAGGATAGGATCTGTATCACTTTTATCTTAGTATTTCCTTACATAGTTCCTGGCTCAAAAATTGTTATCCAAAATATATGCAACTGAAGTTTGTGAGGGAATGACTGTTCTCCACGTCTTCCCTTCAGCTGTGACTGTCCCATGACAAGAGGTTTTTGGCTGATTTTTATTTGTCTTTCCATTTGTTTAGCTCAATGGACACTGCCAGGAAAAGGAAAAAAAAAAAAAAAAGGCCTTGCATGTTGACTCCAGATTTTAAAATGCCTGTAGGAAAGAGCAAAAGGAGAAACACTGCCTCTGGAACTTAGACACACATGCACAAACACAAACACACAAAAGCCTTTCACAGATGCAACTGAATTTGTTTGCATGCTCAGGAGTATGTGCATTTGAGAATGTGCAGTGGCAGTGAAATACAGTATCAAATTCCACAGACGAAAAAAAAAAATAAAATGAATCCTCCAAAAACGGCCCATCAATTTCTTCTTTTATCCAACAATTGTACAGCTTGAAAATATATTTTAATCATCTGAGCTAGTTTTAAGCCATTAAAATATTTTCCAGTGTCTAAATAGCAGCCAGGTCTCCTTATATTATTCATGACCATAGCCTGTCATTGTGACCAGTTTTTTCCACTACTTAACTGAGTGCAGTATCATTTCCACTTTGCTACTTCCTGATAATGCTGAGAAATGGAAGCCATAAAACTGTACTCATCAAGAAATATTAACGGAGTGGTGGCTATATCCTTTTCCAATGCTTAAGAGCTTAAGTTGTAATAATAAAAAGATGGATTTTATTTCCTGAAGTAATCTAAAAAGAACTTGAAGGAAATGAATGTAAAATCCACCAGGATTACAAAATTAGCTTAGAGTTACATAAAAATATCTTGAGTATCAGAAAAGTCTAAAATAAATAAAAAAAACAATACATTCATGACACTGCTGGTTGACCCAATCACCGCTTTGTTATGTAATTAGAGACCTTTTGAAGAATCTAGCAATGTACTCTTAGGAGGAAGGCAGGGCAAACATTATTTTTTTCTGCATACCCATTTGTGTTCAACTAACCAATGGAACTAGATTAAAAAAGAAAATACATGCATTCCTCATGATTTACACACACTAGAACAAAACCTTGCCAGCTGTCAGACTAAGGGAATAGAGGAACCTAATTCCTAACAAGTCTGGTTTGTGCTGGTAGAGGAAGGTAACCGCCATCTTCTATTATTGCCAATTGCAGGGAAAGGCAGTGCAATGTGGTTGAATTTGGTAAGTCAGTAACCTCTGAAGTGAGTGAGTGCAGCACTGAAGATGCTGCTTGGGAAGGCTGTAGCTGAGTGCTTGGATGGGAGTACCAGCCCTGCTTTGATTCCAGCTTCTAGCTAATGTATACCGTGGGAGGTAACGGGTGGGTGGCTCGGGTATTAGGGACTCAGTCACCCTGTGGAAGGAGAGGATTGAGTTCCTAGCTCTGGGATTCAGCCTTGTCCTGCCTGTTGTGCCGCAGGCATCTGGACTGAAGCAGCAGATGGAAATTTTCTATCTGTGTGTATATACATCTCTGGTTCTCTCTCTCTCTCCTTCTCTTTCTCTTCCTTCTCTGTTTCTTCCTCTCAAATAGAAATGGAAATCAATAAGAAGTTTTAAAATCTTCATGTCCAATACATGTCCAATAAACTGTTGTGAGTTTAGCTCTTCAAATGATGGCAGATCATTACACATATTGGAGAATCTGAATGGCATGAAGTAAAATATCTGTCCTGTTGTATGACCTAAAATTCCCACTAGAGCTGTTGTAAGGCTCAGCAGATAGTCACCTGCTGAAAGGGATAAAGGTCCAATGTACCGGAGGAACAGTGGAAAAGGAAGTTCAGAGGAAGTTGCCTAGCTATTATGTTTGTAAAAGTCAAGGTTCTAACAAATGCATTATCATGGCAAAATTGGCCTTTGACCTACATAATTTTGGTAACAAACTTTCAAAACATGCAGACAGTGAATCATAAACTCTTTTCATTCTGCTCACACTCTATGATGGCATATTTGTTAAAAGTTATATTTCTAGGACCCAGCATGGTAGCCTAGTGGCCAAAGTTCTCGCCCGGCATGTGCTGGGATCGCATTTAGGTGTGTCACTTTTAATCCCAGAAGCCCTGATTCTATCTAGCTTCCTGCTTGTGACCTGGGAAAGCAGCTGAGGGTGGCCCAAAGCTTTGGGACCTTGCACCTTTGTGGTAGATCTGAAAGAGGCTCTGAGCTCCTGGCTTCAGATCAGCACAGCTCTGGCTGTTGCAGCCATTTGGAGAGTGAATCATCAGACAGAAAATCTTCCTGTCTGTATATCTAACTTTCCAATAGAAAAATTATATTTCCAAAAATTATTCTGTTTTTAGGTATTTATTTTGTATCTAAACACAGAAACAGATTTATCTGTTTTTTTTCCCCACTGAATTCATGCTTCATGTTTATGTTGATGTGATGTGTTTGAGAGCTCTAGACTGTCTCTAGGCCAAGGTGCCTGTGCATGAACCACCGTGCACACAAGCACATACTAACATGCTCACTCAACGGCATGATTACTGTTTCATTACATCTGAGAAGAGCCGGTTGGGAATTTCTTCTGTTTTGTGGATCTTTTTTTTTTTTTTTCTGCTGTAAGACAAAATTCTAAGAGGGGCATATCCACTTCTGGTTCATCTTTCCCCTTTGTAGGAACCCTCACGTGGGGTGTGTGTGTGTGTGTGTGTGTGTGTGTGTGTGTGTGTGTGTGTGGTGTGCCCAGTTTTAGTTTAGGAGACAAGAAGATGAGTGTACCATGCTTCTTTCATTTAAAATTCTTCAGTCACAGTGTCCTCGCCTACAACAATATTTGATTAAAGCACACATGTTCGAACTCACTGCTGAGAAAAAGTCTTCTCTAAGATTCTTCCTCTGAGGCTTTTGGAAAGCTATGAAACCCATTGTGTTACCTGGCAGAAACAGCTCTCTTTGGAGTTTTGCTCTGGCCTGTTGAGTAAAACATCTTTTCTTCAACCAATCGGCACCAAATTCACTGTAATGTTCATCAGGCCACGTGATGTACACCTTATCATACAGAAAGCAAAGATTACCACATGAACAGTATGGTTTTATTCTAACCCCTGCCGTGTTTCTGTTTCTGTGTGTTGTTTAACATAATCAGGAAATGTGGTCTCTTTTTCAAAAAATTATAAACCACAGAGAATCAACTGAAGTCTGAGGCTCCCAATTAACACCCAAAAGGCCGAATCTGGCTAGGTTGTGCTCTGTTTTCTAAACCAATGTTTCCCAAATTTTCTGAGATGGCTGAAGTTAGACATGAATGAAAACTCCTGCCGAGAGTTGTAATATATGTAATATATGTATGTGTGTAGATATGTGTTTATACATAAGCATATACATTTAACCAAATAAAAATTGTATTTATCGTATGTGACCCCTTAGTTAACCGGAGAGAAGAAAGAGATATTATTTAGATAAGTACCTTCTTTTTGTCAAAAGTTAAGCTTCTGATACCAATGTTGACATCAAGAGCTTCGACGAGGAGTTTCCGGGCTTTCGCGGAATCCAGGTAGCAGTCGGAGCACTGGCAGTTGTCTCTCAGCCATATGGCTGGGTAGAGAGACTCCTCCCCACTGTGCCAGAGGACCTGCAGCAAGTGAGTCCCATCCACCACTTCTGCCTTTTGAATGGCACAGCACATGCTTCCCTGGCCTTCGGGGACAAATCCTGCCAGATACCTGCTGTGAAAAATCAGTGTTAATAGGAATTTCAGGCAGATCGGATCTGGACTTGACCTCTATGTGCGTGAACAGTTCAAGTGGACTCTGCCTTCTGGTGATTGTTTAACTGCCCCAGCCTGAGGTTTGCCTTATTAATGCTGAAACCTCTGCTCGAATGCAAGTAATTCCTGTACTCAAAACAGAAACACAGTGACTAAAGTTAAATATGATAAAAATGCTAAGTCAGGAGCCAGGTGGAAGCAATTCCTTGTTTTTTTTTCATACAGATTTTACATAGTTTCATATATTTTTACAGTTATACACTCATAGAAGTCCTAGGATTTTTTTAAAGGAAAAAAATGCTCAGAAATGAAAACAGCAGCAATCATGTTTGTGCTATTTCAACTACTGTTCAATTGTACCCTATGCTTCTATGATAGTAAATTAATGAATCTGTTTGAATGAAGACGATTAGTGTAATTTATTCATTTTGAGTGATTTTGTAAAATTCAGAACATTGTGTTTTTTCTACTCTATCCGCTACTTTTTTACTTATGCGAAGTTCACTTCCTCAATAAATATAAAATCTTTAGTTTCTCCAAGAGACTTCTTTCATAAGTTATCTGAGATTTTCTGATTTGACACAAACTAGTACAAAGTGCCATGGTTTTGGGGGTTTGTTTTTTTAAACTTTTATGAAGTACTGCTCCTTATTTTCATTTAACTTGGGAATAAATGACTTATTAAGAAATACAGAAAATTTAAGAACATGCAATATTTATAGAAAAGAAAAGCTAGTGACATGGGGGCACCGTGGTATTGTGGTCAGAGGTACTTGAGATGAATCCCAATTCTACTCAAGCCTATACATTTGACCTTTGAAAATCATGCTGATATTCTCTATTTCACCTACATTATGTATTATTTCTTAGGACTCAGACATTTAACAAGGAAATTTATGTGGAAACTTATTTGACACTTATGCGGGAAGTACTATTTATAGAGAAAATTTAAACTTTTAAACTTCTATAAAATAACTGGCTCAGAAACAATAAAAGGTGAAATTAACAGTAGAAGCAAGATTTCATTGCTTGAGTTGAAGAGGATGGAGGTAGACTCCCCATCATAGACACGCAGACAAGTGTAAGGGCTGTTTTAAAAACCTTTTTAGGACATCAGGCATTTCAGTGGGCAATTGGGGCTTCAATAAAAAAAAAAATCATTGTGCATTTCTTAAGGTTACAGGAAGACTTTATGTATCACTGAAATAACATTAACAGTATTTTACACAATATTAAAGTAAAACAGATTTAAGAGATTAGCTTTTGTGACTTGGTAGTTATAGAGCCAAGCCAAGCAAAAAATACTACGTTCCCAATTTAGTCTCCCCTACAGCAGTTATCCAATGACTGAATGGGAGAAACAGCATGCATTGGATTAAGTCTTCTTTTTTCAGAGAATTCCCACTCACATTTTCTTCAAAATTTGTATAATTATTCTAGAGAATTATTAATTAAAAAAATAGTCACAGTTTTCAATTTAGCTGAAAGCAGTATTTACATTGGAGGAGAGGGCTCCAGGGGAATCCAAACATCCATTTCTCTTTGGAAAATGTAACACATTGGATTTTCTGGATAGGACAGACAGGCTGGCAAATTTCTTCACATATATATTTTCAAAGGACAAGACCATTCCTATAGCCATGGCATAATATAAGTAACTGATCACACCCAGAACAACAAAAACAAGAGCAGCAACAAAGAAAGGTATAGAGCATTTTAATCAATGTCAAGGGTGGGAGAATATTTTTTCTGAAAGGGCAGATGTATTTCCATGGGTATTCATTCTATTTTTCTAAGCTCTTTAAGAGTGTAACAACTATTAGTCGATGGCTACACAAAAGCACTTTGTAGGCATGTTTGGCCCATTGCTTATCTTTGATCAATTAAATTATGCTTTCATTGCCATGAAACACAATCTTGCCCAAGTAGAGGTAATAACTCTCTTTTCTTTCTTTATCAAACAATCAAATTCACAATCCAGGTGTGCATCAATTGTCTCCTTTGTACCACTGGTACTAGAGAACACACATATGACCATTAAGTTCCAGACCATAAGGAAAAATAAAATTGCTATGAAAGTAAACAAAGGACGGCTGAACACAAGTAGCACGTGTAGTTGTCTGACAGGCTCAGCATGCTTCCATAGAGAAGATAAAGCTATTTACATAAGTCTTTAAGGATCTATGATCAACATTGCTGAATGTGCATTTATTCCACTTTACATTCCCTCCTCACTAGCACAAATGCAATTTTCTTTAAACTCATAATTAATAAACAGATATGCTTTCCAGCTTCTATCATAGCTAAGGATAGTGTGATATAATTATGCCAATGAAATGTACTTGGAAGTGGCTGGGCAAGGAGATTTTTAGAAACGAGGCAGATTTAAGTGCCACACAATGTTTTTGTGCTTCTTCCACTGCCTCTACTCCAGAATGCGCATGTGTCTTAGAGCAGAGCAGTCATGTTGGAATCACGAAGCAGCAAGAAGAAATAAAAATATTTAAAGGAGCAAGGATCCTTCATCGTTCTGCAATGTCACATCACCAATGTAGTTGTTCATATTTGGACTTATTTTTATATAAGAAAAAAAACTAGATTCCTCATTCACTGAAAGTCCATGGATGGCAAAAAGCAATGTGATAATCATTTTTAAAAAGTGTATGAAAAACACAATACAAAATGCAATTTTTCATATGGACACCTTTAGAAATATCAATATGTTTACCAGGCAAGCGGTTATAGTGGATTTTCTTTTTAATCATCAGTGTCTCTTCAGTAGGTGACAAATTTAAAGAAGATTTAGCACAAATCCTCACAAGCTTCCAGAAGTTTGAAGGAAATGGATTACTCAAAAATTAACTTTTTGAGCCCATCATTACTCTTAAGTCAGAGCCAGACTAAATTAAAATAATAGACAATCGCAAGTCAATGTAACAGGTGAATATAAATGCAAAAATATTTGATAAGATGCTAGTAAAATGAATTAAATAACACATTAAAAAGATCACATACAATGATAAAGTAAGATGTAGTCCCGAAATGGAGGAGTGGTCCAATACATGTAAGCAAATAAATGTGACATTTCTCACATTCATGATTAAAAATTTTCATAATTATCTCAACAGAAACAAAAGTAGCATCTGTTGAAATTCACCATCCTTTCACTATAACTCACAAAAGCAGAAAAAGAGAAATATAGTTCAACATACTAAAGTCCATGACAATCTAGTAAATGAGAAAAATCTGAAAATTTTCCTGTATGATTAGAAACAAGAAAATCATGCCAATTCTGACTACTTCTCTTCAGTGCAGGGCTGTTCTGGTGAGAGATTAGGAAACAAAAGGATAAAACTGTGAGAAGAGGAAGCAAATGTTGCTATTTGCTGATAACCTGATCTTATTTATGGGAAACCGCGGAGTTCAGAGGGAAACATTCAGAATGAATAAAAGATTTTAGCAAATTTCAGGATATAAAATCAATAGGTAAGTATGAATACCATAACAATGAGCATTCTTAAAATGGGAATAAGGAAATAATCTCATTTATATTATTTATAAAAAATACTTATTATTACATTTCATCAGGAAGATAAACGAATTGTACATTGACAAATATAAGACATTGATGAAAGAAATTAAAGAAGCCACAACCAAATGGAATGTCACCATACACTTAGAGATTGGAAGAATTAATAGTATTAAAACAGCCATACTTCCTAAAATGGCCTACAGATTCAGTATACTCCCTATCAATATTTCAGTAAGTTTTTTTCTGAAAAATAGGAACAAATCTCTGTAAAATTCATATAGAACCAACAAATCATCAAATAACTAAAGTGATCTTGATAAAAAAATTGCAAACTTTTGCAGATATTTGAGTGATGCATCAATGTATGAGAACTCACGCTCCGTGTCTCTCATTCTCTCTGTATGTATATGTGTGCATCTCTCTGCTATGCATTCTCTCTCTTTCTTTCTTTTTCTCTCCCTCGTTTATTTTGCAGATTTGACATCAAAAGGCAAAATACATCTCTGGGCTTTAGGGACACTGAGGATCCTTCTCCTAACTTGGGTACTCCTAAGAAGTTATTTACTTCGAGATGTGGAGATGTCAGGGCCATGGCTGATGGGAGGCTGCCTAAGGCCATAGGAACAAGTGGAAGAACTAGAAAGACCTGGTTACTGAAATGAAGTGATTAGATTATCTATGCAGGAACTTGGCAGATCATGTCTGCTTTTCATAGTACATGCCGTAACTTTATGACAAGTGTGGATGGTGATCCAAACAAATGCATACTGAAATGGAAAAATATTTTCCCACTTGAACTTTTTTTCGCTGGTTTAATGCTCTGCTGATGCAAGTACAATGCAAATTAAGAAGGACAAATGTTAAGTATCATCACTAGTTAAAATTAACTTCTCATTTAGAACTTGTAAGCCTGTCCATGACACTGATTTGTTGGAATGTGTTTAATTTACTCCACTTGTTAGAATTGAGCCCAGTTGGAGTACAAAGACAATATAGTTATTGGATAAGTTTTTGAAGTTATCTGAGGAACAAGGCAGACAAATGAGTTCCATTTTTATCAGTAGCATTTATTTGCCAAGTTAAAGAGCACATGTAAAATGAGGTTGTTATATACTGTATTATGTTATCTTGAATTTCCTTGCAGTTACAATTTAGTTTATGAAATGTTAGATTGATTTTCGTGGGAAGGAGTAGTTTTTCCTGAAAAGCAGCCCTTGATTCCTTGATTTTTGATGGATTCCTATTTCATTCTCTTCCCCACTGTGTGTGTGTATGTGATTGTGTGTTATTCTTAGTATTCACCAACCAGATTTTTCAAATTTAAAGCTTCTGTCAGGCTCATCCATCATGATGGTTGTTTTTTTGCTCTTAATTAATTTCATAAGCTCAAATTTCTGCCTAGTTTCTCTAGCACTTTTGGGAAAAAGCAAGAGACG